AAATCTTTGTTGATGATTATGATTATGGTCGTTTAACTGATATACCATCAACACGATCATCGCAATCGCGTAGTCGTCAAAAATGGGGTACTATCGTACATCCACCATTTCCACTTGGTTATCAACATATAACTCCTGAACAAATAACACGAGCTGTTGATCGTCTTTCAAATCCTGTACGATGTCGTGATCGACATACTCGTATTGAAACACCATCGAAACGTTATTTATCGGCTGAAGAAACTGGCGCTTTGGTAAAGAATTAATTATTTTTCCTTTATTATTATGATTATTATTCCTCTCTTTTCTTTTTAGATAAATCGATTGAATAAAGTAAAAACTATTCGATCACCTGAACAATATTGGCCAATACAGGAACAATCTAGAGCAGTTAAAACATTAAATAATAATAACTGGAAAGGTTGTGGTATATCAGCATAATGCACATTGTTTTCGAATTTCAGGGTTTTCTGTGTGTGTGATTTTTATGCAAGAAAAAAAATTTAAAAAAAACGAGAAATCTATATCTTTTTCTGTTTCTACACGGATTTTCATTGATACAAAGATATATTTATTATTATTTTTCATGAATAATCTTACTTAAAACATATATGTTACATAGTTTTGAATTGATTATTCATGATGTAATTTTGTTACACAATCAAAGGCTTCGGTTCAAAGTGATTCATCTACACCGCCTTCGATCTGCATAAATTTTCATTATTTTTTGTAAGCATAAGACACTAAAGAAGAGTTTTCGTGAACTGAACTATCATTATGACCATAGGAAAGTTACACTTCAATTCATAATTTTAATGTATATTAGCTAATTGAAAGTAAGTTAATGTATTTCACAATATTAAAATACGGAATGAGTAAATTAATATGTACTAAGCAAAACATCATCGTAGAAAATATTCTTTTTCTATTTGTTTTTGAAGTACTGTCGAATTTGCAAGTCGAATGAATGATCAATTGAAAATCTTAAAACTTAATTTTATTTATTTATCAGTTATATAAACAAAATCATCCTATTGATTATTGATGCGCATGTTCAAGTAGGCTTTTAATATAATCTATTTAAAATCAAAGTACATTAATATATTTTCCAAAAAATAGAGTTAGATTAAATTGAATTGAATATAAGCCAGAAATAGAAGTGGTACCGGTTACCAGCTGTTCAATCTTATTTACTTTCATGCTTTTATCCTATTGACTTATTTAAAACTTCTATTAGTCATACGAGTATTCGTAAAGGTTATGCAATGAATTTTTGCTGTAAGCTGACCACATGAGATAATATTGTCTATCTGAAAGTTTTTTTTGATAATCAATTCAACAGAGAGATCGGTTCTATTTCTAATAGAGGTATGAGCTGAACTCAGCCATCTATTCAGTCTATGAATAAAATACAATGCTTAAGAAAAAAAATCTTCATCAATTTGTGATTGTAAAGTATTTCTTAAAGTGTTGTTTCGAATAATTTTATTTGCGCATGTTTTTCAAAATGTCCTTGCAGAACTTAAATACACAAGTGCACTGTTGTCAAAATAATTGGAAAAAAAATACATTACATAGTTTCATTTGAAATTATTTTCTTGTTTTGTTTTTACCAATTCTGACCTCGCACAAGAAAACATCTAATCACGCTAAACTCGGTGAACATGCAAATCATCAAGTTTAATAACTTCTTTAAATCTACATATTAAGAAATTTTTTTTTCTACAAACAAATGTTTTTCACTGTCAATATAAGCGAAGAAACCCTATTTTTTTATACTATTTTCTGATCTGTGCCATTATTCAGTACGCCTTCGGGCAACATTTTGCAATAGTTCACCTATCATTGCTGTACAGCTTTTAAACCGTGATGGATTTGCTACAATATCAGTTTCACAAAAATGTCGAGAAATAGATTTAGTAAACTCTTCATAGGATATTTTCTTATGAAATTCGATTGGCAGTTGTTGTTTTTACAATCATGGATAACTCAAATTTTCCCATGGATAAAACTATTTAGATTCGAATATTCATAAGCAGATACATTTTCTTTGAAACATGCTAAATAAAATTTTAAGCAGCATCTAATCAAACTATAAAAACGTCAAGTCAGTTGCTTGAACTTTTAAAAAGATATACACGTTTGTTTTTCGCTTGGACTTTGCAACACTCTGTATATACAATATTGGACATCTTTTAAACTAAGTTATTTTTTTCTAGAGTTGTTCTAAAAAATTGAATCCATATAAATGAAAATAGAAGAACACAAGTCACATTTTGGTAACTAAAATTTTTTAAAAGAAAGTCGTCTCGAATGTAAGGAACCTATATTGTGACAACCAATATAATATTTTATCATTTTGCTAATATGAGTAATGTTTTTTTTTTCAAACTATCACATTTGAAAGATGTTTTCAACTCGTAAGAAAATCACTTAACGTTCAAAAAACCTAAAATAAACAGGAGTTTCGGAAGATTCCATTGAAATTTCAAGAATATCACGAAATTCTTCGTCAAATTCTGCAGCTTTGAATGTATGTTTTAGAATTTTAGATGAACTATTTGGGGTAAGCGGCTTTAAAATAAAAGAGGAATTGAAAACATCAAAATAAGTCTTTTATGATACACCTATACCATTCATATTTTTAATTCTAAATAATCTTAGTACTTTCACTCTTCAGTTTAAGTTATAACATTTTGTTCAGAATTAAATCCTACATTTGATAGCTCAATAGTAAACATTTCGTAGTCTCCGGTTGTACACTTCCAAAAACCTTAAATGGTCGTGGAAGTATAGAGCATGTAATTCTCTATTGATTGATATGAAATAATTTACTTTTAGCATCCACTTTGATGAGCAAATGCTTCCACTAATCAATAATTGTCAACAAAAAATAGGAAGTTGCAGTTGATTTATACCAAAAAAAATTCATCCGCAAAGTTTTTATCCAGTATTGTATTATTTTCTTAAAATATAGAAAATCAAAATGTATTTTTCATAATGAATTTATAAAACATAAATCGATTGAATTGTTTCATTCATATATGGTTCCGTTAAATGTTCTTTTTTCTTCATAGACAAAATAAAAATAAATTTTTGCTTACATTTCATATAATAATATGACTTTATTACAATACAATGAATATCTTGAAAGAATGTATGATCATTAGAAAAAATTCAAACTATTGTTCTTTTGCTTCTTCTCTATACCTTATGTTTTTCATAATAATCATTAGTTCCACATATCCTGAAGATTATTAGTACAAGAATATGAACCAAGCGAACTCGATACAAATACGCAAATCACATCTCATTAGTATTCAATCGTCTTTAAGTCGCAAAAAAAGAACTATTGACAAACATTCTATAATACTTGCATGTATATTTGTAAATCTAAGCTTCTTAGTTACCATTTGTTATCAAAATTTGATTAGACTAATGAAATTTTATAGAAAAAAGAAACCGAAGTAATTTAGTTCGTTTTTTTTTCGTTTTTTTTCTTCTCGCTACCTAATATGTCAACATATCAGTTTACATATCTTTGTTCGAAAAATAAGTTATCATATTAAATTCAAATATTTATATAAAGATATAAGTCTTTGTGCTATTCGATCAGTTAGTGATTTCTTGTGCATTTTTGTTAAAAGAACAGCAGTAAAGAATAGGTTTGTATTTATAATGGTCTAAAAAGAAAAATTTTTTTTTTTTGAAATTTTACCAAGCAAAAAAACACAAGTTATTTAGAAACGGGGTTAAGCTGTAGATGTTAATTAGCAATAACTATATGTGTGTTGTTACTATGGACAGTCTATTAACAACGTTGAGGTACTTCGTTAGACACGCATACTTAATAAAACAATGTAGCGCAAGAAGAAAAAGAAATATGTTCGAGCGTCGTATGCTTTTCCAAAGACGAGGATAATATATGAGATGTAGAGAAAGTGCAATAAAAATATAATCATACAAAAGTTTTTTTTTTTCATCGTTGTTACGTTTTCTCTCTCTCTCTCTCTCTCTCTCGCATTTTGCACAGTGACATTTATAATAAACATTATGGACGATGAACAAAGTGAGTTAACTCAAACCAAAAATAAATTATTCAATAGATTTTTATTATAAACAGACAATAAAAAGAAAAATTAGTACGAAGAAGAAGAATAATTGAAAACATCTACAAAATTTTCTTTCGAAGAATAAGTTTCTCTTGATTAGAAAGTTAAGATTGAATAAGCAAAAATTGTTCTTGTTTTTTGTTTTGTTATTTTATATAAAAAATTTTTCTGAAAATTTTCAGATAATTAATCAAAATATCTTAGTTATTCTTAACGTTTCTAGTCTGAAATTTCTTTCTATATTTCATTACCAATACAAAAAAAAACATCATTTTGTAACAGTGAATCAGTATACCGTATATATACAGAATATCCCCGACAAAATCACCATACAAAAATATATCTGAATATAAATACCCCTATAAAGTAGTACTTCCGTATTCAATACACAATAAAATCTTTTTTTTTTGACTTTCGAAAAACAATATGTAGAGCGTTTCTTATATTTCTTCAATTTTTTTTTCATTGAGTGGTTACTATATTTCTTTCAAATGATTTTTTTCTTCCTTCATCAAAAAAACTTTGATAGAAGAAGGTTCGCTGGGTAAATTGGCACAATTTTAGAGTTTTCACAGTTATTACATTCGAGTTCATAATGTATCTGATTTTTTCAGAAGTGCCAAATAAATGTTAATAAAGTAAGAAAAAAGGGACCCTAAATACTTGAAGATCCGCAATAATGCAAAAAAATAAATAAGAAAAACCTTGTATACTGTTTTTCAAAGCTCGAAAAAATGTATTAAACATGAAAGTACTACTTTGTATGATTATTTAAGAATATTTATTCATCTTTGAGAGAATAAATCCTAATAAAGAATGATTCTATATATCTTATTAAATAATTTCAATGTTTATTTTATAGTTATTGAAACGTTGGAAGCAGATTCAATGCCAACATACGAAATACCTCGAGATTATCGACAAGATACTAAAGGTTTTGTCGAACAAAAAAAAAACATTATTTTATTTAAATTATCGTTTGTTTTTGTTTTTCTTTAATGATTATAGGAAGTACTACCCCTCGTAGTTTTGTTGATGAATCAACTCAATATACACCAGTTACTGAATATCCATCATCATCAGCAATGTCTTCACGAATAAAACAATCAGCTTCAATGTATAGACTTGAAAGTCGATATCAACCAATTACAAAAGGAAGTATGTTATAATATTTGTGAAAATTTTATAAGAAAAAAGAAGAATTTTATAATCTATATTAGATCAACAATCAAGTCAACCAATATTTTTTGTCGAACCTGTAGTTGTCGCACAACCAATGCTTTATAATATTCCTAATGCACAAACTACTCCAATATTTAATCAATCAACATCTAGCAATAAACAACCATCTATTCCTACATTCTATTCAATAAATGGTCAATCTCGTCGTCTAACCGTCGATATGAATACTAATAATTTAGATCATTCTAATCAAGTTATCAATGAATCTCCTATACTTTATTCTATGATCAATCGTCCACCTTCTGGAAATCAAATTCAAGAATCAAATAAACAATATTTACAACAACAACCACCACCAACTGTTTATTCAATTGTTGGTAGTGCAGCACGTACATCACGTGGTGTACAAGTAAGTACGCTTGATACTGTTCAACCAATACCAATTTTATATACGATTACGGGTGATACATCAACTCCAATAAATACACCAAAAGAAAATGTTCCACCACCAACTGTGACGAAACCATCAAACGATATTATGATGTATTCATTAGATAATGAAACTAATGTTCCTCGAAAACAACAACAACAACAACAACAACCAATTCAACCAATTCAACCAACTACACTTTACGCATTAGTCAGTCGACCACTTTCACCATCAAAGTATTCAATATGATTTTTACATTTAAAAATTATTTAGATTCTTTTCTAGAAAATCAACAACAATAATACCTACTGAACGTATTAATCGTAATGTCGAACGAAAACCAGAAACAATCCATGAAGAAATTATATCGTATCCAATAATAAAAGCTAAACAGGAACCACAAGCAAAAGGTTAAATTGTTGTTTTATTTTTAAAAGAAAAAAAAACTATAAAAATAAAATTTTAGAATCAAAAAATCCAAAATCACAAGCATTATTAATTCCTCTTAATGATGATGAATATCGTACACGTGCTAAAGTAGCTCATCAATCACCTCTTTTTTATTCAACTCCAGAACAAACACAACGTAATCCTTATACTACAATACAAAATCAACCAATTCAATTGTCTGATTATCATTCACCATATGAATATCGAAAACAGAAACCATATCGTGAACGTAAATATACTAATAATCCATTGCCTGTTGTATCAAATAATCGTCTTGAACGAAAAACAAAACCACAACTTAATGAAACACGTTCCCGTATTGAACGACAACAATTAAATGTTCCATCAAAATCAACATCTTTAGTAATTATGTTAATTTTCTATTTACACTTTTTTTAATAGTTTTTTTTTTTTTTTTTTTGTAGGAAAGATATCCTGTTAATAGAAATGCACGTCTTGGTTTATGGGATGCTGGTTATCAAACACAAACTGATGATGAAGAATATGTAAATAAATATAACAAGAAAAAACGAAATAGAAAAACCATGCAACCACGTGCACCATGGATACCTGTTTGGTAATCGAACACAACAAAATAAAAAGAAAAAAAAAATTTTTTTTTGCTATTCAATTTCTGCTTTTATCTTTTATATATATATATATAAATAGAATGAAAAAAATATATTAAACTGTTTCATTTTGTTAATTTTCGTCTTTTTTTGCAAAAAATATAAATGTTTATAATGAGACATTAACGGACATCATTTTTTGCACAAAATAATTTGAATTCTATAAAAGATAATAAGAAAAAACAAAAACCTTATTCAATGAAAATATAAATTAACATGAATATATACATACCTTCAAAACTAATTGTACCACTATCATCAACATCAAGTCGTTTAATTAAACCTTGAATTTCTTGTTCAACTAGTGCTGGTGCAACACCAAGCATTTCTTGCATTGGTTTATAATATTGTCTTAATTCCTCAACGGTTATACTACCATCACCATCTTTATCCATACGACGAAATTCTTTTCGAAGTTGTTCTTCAGAAAGCGAAGCCATTTGATATTTATTTTTTTGTTTTCGTATGAATGTAAATGCATAAATATTATTGCATGTAATACCTATTTATATACACAAAAACGGATGATTTGCTTCATACTTGACTGATTTTATTCATAATATATGATGAGTTGCATAGACGAAGGAAGAAAAATGATGTAAATATGAATAATAAAAAACATGAAACATAAATATATTTTATCATTATGATTGGTTATAAATAAGATTGAAATCAATTTTTTGACGAATAAAAACAGTGTAGGATAAACATATGATAGAGGTAACATCAAGCAAGTTTTATATTAAAAAAAAATAGGTGAATAAATATGCAATAAAAATATGAATAATGTCTAAACTGTCCTTGAAAAAAATATCTCCCGACTTTTCATGTTTACCTGAATGTCTATGAGATATAGTGTCTCATATGAAAAGTTTCCCACTAAGAACATTGTTGTTATTTCTGAATATTATATTACTAATAATTAGACGCTGATGTAGATTAGTAACCTAGGATAAAGGAAAGATAAAAACTTCACACATTCTACTCAGGAAGAATTTGATAACGAAAGATATTTTTGTCGAAAGAACAGTTTACTATGAACATTTTTTCATGAACGAAAAGCTAGAAACATTTTCGACTATTACCGACACATATCGAAATAATTACTAATTTTCTATCTGTATTTAACCTACACATGAGCGGGACTATCTTGTCTATATCTATTTAGAACGCATGAATCGTAACAATATGACATTCGGTACAAGTTTTATCCGATCATAAAAGGTATTGTTCTTAATGAAAAAGTGTTGGTGCTAGTCCCGAAACTATCTCGCACATATCTAATTTAAACACATTTCAAATTGAATAGTTTTAATATTTCATCCTTATTCAATATTATCAATGAATTCAATAATCAATTTATATATATATGTCTCAATTAAATACACTTGATAGCAATATATTAAATCATACAAAATTCAGTACTTTAATCATTTGATGTACATGTTTTGTAAGCATCTCTTAATAGATGGGTTTTTTTTATATAACACCATTCAGGTTCATGTATAGTGCTAAAACTGTATCACTAAATCCTGCCCAACAAAAACCTTTATGATCAATCATACAAACTTGTATATTGAATATTATTCAGAGAATGTTATTATTTAGAAAAATACATATGAATAATTGAAGAATGAAAATAAATATTAATCAATATGATATTAGTCATTTAGAATACAATATACAGTTTAATCCAATTTTTATTTTTTTTGTTTCTCAGTGTACAAAGCAAATAGTCAATCTGTTTTATTTTACCTAAGAACAAAAAAAAATACCTAGTGCACGATTTATTAACATACACAAAGAGAGAGAGAGAGAGAGAGAGAGAAAACAATGAAATTTAACATTATTTCCAAATTTTAATATGTCGTTTAGCTATTTCATAGCTTACATTATTAACAATACCTTCCCATTGAAGTGTATCATTTGGTTCATTAGTACTAATGAGCCAAATATTTAATGTTAGAAGATTAGTCATATTTTTAACAAATTTACTTGCAATTTGTCTTAAATCATGTATAGTATTTAAATTAATTTGTAAATGTTTTACATTTGAAAATATTTGAAGAAAACGATTACTATCAACAATCGGTAGAGTACCACGACGTAATACAAATTTTTCAAGTTTATCATGTAATTGAGAACATACATCATTATTTTGAAGACAATTTGTTAGAGTCTAAAACAAAAAAAAAAAAATTTTTCAATAGATCAAAATGAGAATATTGACGAAATGATAAAGCGAAAGATTAAAATCATTTGTCATAATTTTGATTACATTCTCAGAAAACTAATGATGAGAGAGATACATATGTATTGCTGAGATTCCAAATATATATAATTCTTATGTAATATTTTATCTATTCTTCAAAGGACAATCCAAATATACTGTTTGATCTTATTCTCTTAAGTTGAAGAAATATCAAACAGAGTAATTAGAAAATCTCGCATAAAACAGTATATTCACAATGATATAATAACACGAATCTAATTGGAAAAGTATTGCATTTTTCTTCTTTTTTTTTTTTTGAAGATCGTTAGAGAAATAAAATACGTGATATTTCAACTGATACTCTGTTATCATGAAATCAAGGGTTTACTTTTTAATTAATTTAATATTGTAAGAAATACTTCGATTTCTATACTCGAATTTTTTAATCAAAACACTGAAAAATAACCTATCCAAAAAATCTTTAATATCTATTTTCATCGAATAAAAATTTACCATAAGAATATCATAATCAGTTTTGAAATAACGTAAACATGGTGTAAATTTTAATAAACCTAGAAAAATAGATGTAGGTAACGGAATGAAAAGTTCAAAATGAACTAATTTATATAAATTAAGCATAGTATGAAGTTGTGTAAGTAATATTGAATAATTAACTGGAACAATAGCATTTTGATATATTTGAAGAGCACGTACATTCGGATATATTCGTTGAGTATAAACCTAAATTGTTTTTTTATGTAAATTTTCATTTATAAATTAAGTTTTTTTATTACCTGCATTGGCGTATTGGTTTTTAAATAAAGATCTGTAACAGAAGTAAACGCATTATACGGTGCTTCCGTTACAGGTAAACAATGTATTGTACTAATAAATGAAAGACGACGATAAGGTGCAGTAAATAGATGAAATTTATTATTATCTTGTGAATAATCAACAGCTATATGCCATTGACGCCAAAATCCAGTTAAAAATGATGATGAAAGTTCATCATCAAATGTTACTGATACAGCTTTAATATCTAATATAAGAAAACGTAATTGTTCTAATGATGTTAATATACGTAACCATCGTTCTGAATTTAAAAAATCAATTCCAATAGCAATTATTGTAAGTCGAAAAAGTCGTGGTAAAAATGAAAGTATATGTACAATATAATCAAATCGTACTGTATATATACAATTAAGTTTCAATGTATGAAGTGTTTGAAATGATGTATTAAATGGTGGTAAAAAACCTTGAAAATTAACAAGAAGTCGATGAATAGTAAGATGTTTAAGTAAAGGATAGAAATGAAAAAGTGTATGAAGATCATTTATATAAAAACTATCGAGAACAAGTCGATTGAGATAAGAATTTGGTCGAAGTTTGTTTGTAGATAAAACATCATCGTATGAAAGAACACATCTGTATATTAAAAGTGTTTTGTGTTTTTTTTTTATTTGTAAACTATTTTTATTGAAAATTTCTTACGTTTTTAAATATGGAATATCGAAAACAAGACCAAGTTGAATTTTTTGTTCATATGTTTTATAAGATTTGATATGAATTGATGATAAATGTTTTAATTTAATTATTTCTTTATATTCATATTCATTTGGTTCAATAAATGACATTGTTGATAAATTAGGAAATGTTATATCAATATGTGAAAATTTTGTTAAAAATAATTTTATTCCACCACATGTTTCAATATTAGATAAACGAATTGAATAAATACATGATGAATAATTAAGAAAAATGTTTGTACAATATTCATTAAATTCATTAAAAGATATATTTGTCGATAGATCAACATGCATTCCACGTTGAATAATTACATTTTCTAAACGATTATTAAGCATACCAAATGCATGAATTAAATCAAGTGGTCGAAGATAATCAAAAATATCCAAGAGAATTTCATTAGCTAAATTTTCAAATTTTGATAAAGACATTACTTTTTGAAAATCTAAAAAAAAACAGAAATTATTAATTGTAATGATTTATGTTAAGTTTAAAAAGTATTTAAATATCATGCAAATATTACTTTATGAATTCTACCATAATTATTTCATCAATAAAAAGTGTATATATGTGAAAATGAATAAATTTGAATCAAGTAGATCACTTTGAATAGTTAATTATATGCTCGATTTAACTCTTATAATGCTTACAAAAAAAAATGATTTACGATAATTACTGTTCCCAGACTAGTATAGCAAAATTGAAAAGTTGTTTATCAACAAAAAAGAAGCATTTTGATTGAAATCGCTTACGTGATAATTATTTCAACATATATATGTAATCCGATAGATAAGAAACTTTTACAAATAGAGACGTGATCGAATCTAGAATATTTGTTTTTCAAGTGTTAATTGATTTCCTGTTCTATCTAACAAGGGAAGTTCCGCAACTGATTAATCGCTTTTAAGTTCGGATTATATGGATCATGTAGACCATAATAAGTTATAAAACTCTGAAAATAAGTTTGAGATCTTAGCTTATTGTTTTAGAGATAGTATAGGAATATAGTATTGAGAATAGTTTTTATACACATCTGTAGATTCAATGTCCTAATGCCAAGATAGAAGAAAATCAAACGATCTGAAATTTTCACAATAAACTATTCTCGGTATTTCTACAGTATCTTCATAGCAACAAGCTAATGATCCGAATTCTATTCCGAGTATTGCATTAATTTACATGTTTAAATAAGATTAGAGAAAAGTTTTAATATTTC